AGCTTTACCTACATTTTACGCAGAATAAATCAAGAAAATTACACAAATTGACTCCATTTAGGAATTCCTAACGGTTTGCTCGAACGCATGGCACAGTTGGAGGCATGGCCTGTTCAGCATTTTGTCAACAACCAATCACAAGACTGGTTAAAAACCACATCGAGGTCACGACTCGGTTAGCCTTGCTCAACTGGTTCGTAAAAAATGTGAGCTGGCTGGAGCCTTCATCTCTTGTCTATTTCTTACACTAGATACCAGCCGATTGCCCCCCCCCCCTCATAGAGACTCCATACTACAGTTGATTATCGTTCCTGGACTCCCTGTGGTTACGCAATTAAATTAAATTAAATTAAACTAAATTAAATAAATGCACCTGGTGATGAAGATTTAATTTAATATTCGAAAACCAACCGTTTAGTCAAAACCCAAGTAGTTAGCCAATTCGCTAGCGAGTTTGCAAATTGGCTGCCCCAATACTTCTGAGACTTGCTGTAACTTGTTCTGAACAATGGCCTCATTGAATTTTTATCTCCAACACAGTACATTTTACTTATATTCACTATGTATTTACATATAATAAAACAAACAATTCATTAGTTATTGGTTCATATATAAACCCTGAAGCTCCAAGAACCTCCTGTTAACATGTACAATGAAAACATTATGTTGTTCGACAGTATGTGATCTGCATTATTTATGGGTTCTGTATTAAAGGATAATACACACACTGTATGCATATGATTAAAAAAATAATATTAATTTATTTGACAATGATAAGAACTCAGTGGAGCATATGAAACTTTCTCCTGGGCAAATTAACTGCTGTGAGAAGAAAACGGTTTAATTTTCCTGCATGATGAAAAACTACTGCAGATTGTAGGATTCAAACCCCCACACTTCCTTATAAGATTCCTGCTTTCTGGTCACATCCAATCACTTGCCACAGTGGCTATTAGACGGTTGAGCAAGAATCAATGACTAAAATCAGATGTACATGTAGGAGCTATGATCATTCATTTTCTGACCAAATGGCAAATCTCAGTCAGGCAGCTTTTCCTTGTATAGAATTTATCAACCTCAATTTTTTGTTGACAAAATAAGTAATAGTTTAATGAATGATTCAGTATACAACTAATGACCTTCAAAATTCTTTGATTTTCTGCTATTTTCATTTTTAATTGTTTTTTCTGTGTATGTGTATTTGCATGTCACTTTTTGTGTTTTTTGTGTGAATTGTATTCATTATCATTCATTCCAATGAATGTTAAGTGATTAAATAAATAAATGAACTAATGCAAATTTTGGTTTAAATAATCGTTTATTGGAGATGTGCTTTAGAGCAAATACAGTATTATTAATTGTCATGTAACATGATTGATTGCTATTTCCACTACAACACAATTTGCATCTTTATTTTAATAGTCAGATGTCGTTGAAGGCAGTGTACACCATCGGCAAACAAAAGTGACCAGAACTGCATGCAGTCAATGTGTGGAGTTGCTTCCTACACCAGATTATTAGTATATTCAGATCGAATCTGAATATAAATATAAATAGACTGGACTTGTATGAAATACTGATGCAGTGATAGTTAGACTAAATGCATGTCAAGCATGTTTGCATTGTTCATTATACGTGCTGTTCATTTATAGCAATATTGTATGTTATTATTCTATTAGAATTATTTTGTTCGTACATCCTTTCAAGAACAACCTTTGATGGAAATGGAACGAGCTGCAACGTGTAGGTACATGTATTTTTTATAAATACCATATATTCCATTCACAGCAATTGATGGGAGCAACTTGAGAATTAAATGATTGAATCAGTAGTTAATATTTTAGGATATCATCTTCACATTCTTATAACCTTGAGCCGATATGTACATGATTATGTGAGCCTGATGTACAATAGGGTGAAAATTTTATCACAATTTTTTGTTTCAAAAGTGCTACAGTAATTTAATTATAGATTTAGATATATGCCATAGCTTTTTGAGTGTTCTTACACAGTTTAGAGGAAATCAGGTGGCAAAGTGCAAACAAATTGTCATTTTTGGAACTATTTCCTAACGTGGAGTAAAGAAAATAACAGCATTCTTCGGAATAACCCCTGAATCAGAATTACTCATAACAACATACTATTTTTTCATTATATTTGACTAAAAGATTTTTCAAAATAGCAACCAATGTTAAATGACTGAAACATCAGTGTTTTCATAAATTTTAAGTCACTTTTTTCACATGAAAAGTATTTCCATGACCATATCTTTTTAAGTGGGTTTTATGAGCAACAACATAAAATCAAACCATAGTGTAAAAATCATAGAAATCTGAATATCTGTTCTAATACCTATGTACGACCATAAATAATGAATCATCAATATACTACATATATCCTATAGCACTTTTTGGTACCATCCAGTATGGTGTTCACATCAATGGATACTGCGTTGATCCTGATAAAGGCATGTGTATGTGGTTGGCAAGAAGATCTCAAACTAAACAAACCTATCCAGGAATGCTGGATAATGTGGTAAGGTAACCATGAATAGCTTGCGTAGACAAACACTGTATTTTTAACTCATTTTATCCAGTATACTGACTACTGGTTTACTGATTACCCACTTTTTATTATAGACTTGCTACTAAGACTTTGTGCATTAATCATGTCAATTTATTTGCAATGCCATGAAGAGTGGAGTGATCACACTTTCATTGCTATTGCAGTTTTGGAAAACTTTGTAAATGCATTAATTATTCAAATTAAAACGTGTGAAATAACGATAGAACTCATTGTTTTACTGGCAAAAACATGATCTTAATCAAAACCTGACAATTGTGCTCAAAATATTGAACTAGTGAAAATATAATTGTTTTTTATAGTAACTCATTAATTGCAAATTAGCATATACAGATTACACAACATGCTGTCAGCCAATCAACTGATCAGGAGGTGAAATCTTAGTAGTAAGTGTGTGACCAGTGTAATGGCAGTTGGTACCCAGGCTAACATGCATGTGTCACATAAGACCATATCAAATACAACACAGTTATAACTGTTTTGTTTTAACATTTGAGGCATATACACAACTGCCGGTAGTGACATACTGTGTGACTTTAAAAAGGCGAGACAAGAATCTTGGATTTGATGCTCTATGTTGATGTGTAAATCTGATCATAATGTGTTGTATGTACATTATTTGAAGTCAACAAATTTCATTTCAAATCAGTCTTATTCAAATCCAAATAAGACAATTTGATTGGCCTTCATTCCTTTGTTCCTTGTATAAATTAGAGTAGCCAATTTACACACTAAAGTAGACTCTACTATATAACAATAACGGACAAACATCCTATGGTTATACTAGTATGTTTAAATTATGGCTGAATAATCCTAACTTAATAGTTAATTCTAAAATACAAAGGCATAATGTTGCATTGTTCTCAAAATCATTTGCAGTGCTTTTTTTACTGTTCACACATCCATACGGTTCAAACTGAGTTGATTCAGATCTCGATCCAGTAATTCCGACGTCAGTGACAACTAGCATCTGCTTCTAGTTTAACGGTTAAGAAGTACCATGCTTATGTAAATACGACGTTGTGTATTTCATTCATATGGCAAAATTAAAATGCATTCAGTCGTTTCAAAAGAAATGTACAACTGATATGCAACCGCAGTAATTTGTAATTAATTGAGTTTCTACTCATCCATAATCTGCTGTATTTGCCAGATATCAATGTACAACCTTATATGAGTTTAGGCATGTTTGGCTATATAAATATTCATGGCTTTGTTGACTTCAGTGTATAATGACACACAAAATATGAAAACATTTCCCAATTACTGTCATGAAAGGTGTATCAGTGCTGTCAATTTTTTTTTCAGGCTGCAGGGGGTCTCCCAGCTGGTGTTAAAATAAAAGATTGTATGTTGAATGAATGCTTGGAAGAGCATGTATACC